AAAAACTTACCTAGTTTGAAAATTTATTTATTTACTGTACTAGATACAAACTACTGTTCAACGACTGATACCATAGAGAAGGCTATGCTGATACATTAAATGAAAGGTAATAAAATAAAAGTTATTTTAACACTATCACACCCCTATATGCGAACCATTTGTAGCCCTGCAGACATGCAAGCTATTTTTACTCATTTTTATCATTAATATTTTATTATTTGTATTATAATTAATTACCAAAACTATGTTCAAGGTCAAATAGGTGTACGCAACTCATTGCCAAGGTACGAAACTAAAACTTTGAAGTATACTCTACACAGCACGAAATGATTATTACTCATCCAATTGAACAATAGTATCGTGAGGTATGTTTAAAACTATGGAGTCTTTTTCGGACTCCCGGTATATATATATTTATATATGTTATAACAATTTGAACCAACAGTATTTTTGGCCTCTTGGAATACCAAAATGAAAAAAGTAAATCGGTCCCGGGTCCTAGGTCTTACCATTAGACCTACTGTAATAGCGTATTCCCTATAAGGGAAATTTGCTAATAATCAGCATATCATTTATATTGAATGGTGTGTGTTGAGGAAACCACTATTGAATCTTTTCATCAATTTCGTTGTCTCGAGCAATGCGAGAATGGCGCACGTCAACATGTTGCTCACTGTTAATGTTCAACTAACGTCATTTTTTATAATATTTCTCAACTTCCTACAGATTTGATGAGGACGGATCATCCCAAGCGCCCATCAAGTTACAACATTTTGTCTGTTATCCCTCGTCCCCGAGTCAATCCACCAGAGCTTTTCATTGTCTTTATGAGGCCTGTTCGATGGCCTAATCAGACCAAATTCCACACTAGAACTTGTCTGTACGTCTTGTAGTGAAATTTCCGATCTTTGTGAATTTTTTTGTTCTTTAATATCAATCCTTTATTTCAATTCATATTCAGCATGTCCTGTATAGATGGGCGCACTTGGCATGGAAAAATTACCCGCTGCATGGAAGATCTGTAGAGTGATTGTAATTGGAAGATCTTATTTGCCTGATCTTTCAGCCTCAATAAACTGTTAACTATGTTAAACTGTTTTATTTTGTTTTCATGTGAAAGTATTGTACCCAAAGCTTAGCTTAAATGTTTATGTATAAACATTTGACAGCTTTGGGAAGAGTAGTTTTGCCGTTGAAGGTATATTTTGAAGGTCTGTTTTTCGGCATGTAAACCTACATTTATTAAAACGAGTTCGCGAAGCATGATCATCGAAGTATAAGACAAAACGTAGGAAATTAATTTATGTTTTAGAAACGTACGCGAAATTCTTAACATTAATGAAATAAAAATGTTATACTATGCATTTGTCCAATCGGTACATCAATATGGAATTATAGTATGGGGAGGAATATTTTAAAGCCACTGTTTGTCATACAAAAACTAATTATTAAAATAGCTTTTTAATTCAATAGGCGTTTCCCTACAAATTTATTATTAAAAAAACACTCAATTACTTTCGGTGCGTCAACTTTTTATCGAAACTTTACTTGTATATACCTACTCCAATCAAGATTTGATAGTGACGCCAATCACACATAACTATCCCACCCGGAGCTGTAAATATAGGTATACCTCGAGTTTTCAAGTCTGCAAACCTTACCAATGCTTTTTATATTGCAAATTGTTTGTATAGGAATATATTATCAGAGAGATCTACAGGTATCTCTTCCAGTTTATAAACGTTCGGTAAGCAGTTGGCTGTCGGAGATTGGGCTCGATCAGTCTGAGACACTTATCAGTTCAGTATACAATACATAACAATAATAAATACACAAGTACATCAAACAGTATTTAGCGTACAGACATTAGTAACTGCAACTCCATTCACTCGACTACCTTTTACTTAGCATTAACTGTTCCTGTAGCTGTCTCATAGCTTAGTTGTAAATAGTATTTTGATTAATTTAGTTTTAATTTTTAAGAGTATTTCTAATTTGATTTGTAATAGAGTTCATCCCGCGCACAGGTCTTTTACGGCCTATGCGGGACTATTGTTCGTATTTTGTATATGTATATATTGTAAACAATTTTTGGAGATAAAACAGATTATTTGATTTGATCAGGCCATGGGAACGGTTGCTTTATGGGGTTTTTTGTTAAGAACGGGTTTTTCGTATTTTTGACCCTTAAAACATACAAATTTACAATGTATCTCTAGACCATTTTGTAGAGCTTAAAAACAAATAATTTAGTACATTAAAATGTTTTTTTACAGTTATTGGTTACGGAGAAAATTAAAAAATGTAAATTAAAATACCTCAAGTTGTTCCAATAGCGAAGATTTTTTAATTATTGTTTTTTTTCTTATTTATGGACACATTTTTATAAAATTGGGTAAATTTATTTGTTTCTTATCATACTATTATTATTTTATATACTGTATTACCCTCCCTGTAGCAGCAAACCTAGGCACCAGTTAAACCTAATGTTATTTAAATAGGTTTGTGAAAATCAAATCAAACAAATGGAAATTCGCTTAGTCTGCAGGTTTGCTGAGGTGGGGGTATTTTTATTCATACTTTCATTTATTTTATATTAATAGCAAATACACTGGCATACTCTCTAATCAATACGGAGTTTGCTTCAAACAACTATATTGTGGAAATATTGAAAAAAACCACAATTTGTATCGGTCTTTGGAAAATTTATTTATTTTGATGGTCTGTATTTTGACCATTATTTACGCTACATACTTGCTGTTGGGCTTAAACTGTCACAAATTTATTCTTCTTTAATGTAATAATATAAAATTTTTGGTAAAATGAGTGGTTCGCGAGATTGAGTGAAAAACAATAGGAATTGCCATATTTTTTATATTTCGATAACAAGTGGCGCGCCCCGCGGCGAGCGGCAGCATCTCGAGGTGGATAACTTGGATTTTACGTTATGGGCCCAATACTAACAACATATCCAAAAATCAGAACTACCCGACCTTTTGCATACCAAAATGTCTTATTTTACTGGACTATTATAAATATTCCCTTTTTTGATTTGGTAATTTTACCGAATTTCCCTATAGGGAAGTAGCTATTACCGTAGGTCTCATGGTAAGACTTAGGCCCGGGACCGATTTACTTTTTCATTTTAATGTCCCCAGAGGCCAAAAACACCATTCGTTCAAATTTTTATATATGTATATATATATATATATATATATATAGATTTATATATATATATATGTGTCCGTGAACACGATAACTTGAGTAATTTTTATCCGATTTTGATGAAATTTGGTTTGAAGGTGTAAGGCGGGATAAACTTGAATGAGTTCGCGATCCAGCATGATCGGACCATGGGAACAGGGTTTTATGGGGGGTTTTATGGGGTAAAAATTGGTTTTTCTCACTATTTACCCTCAAAACACAAAATTTCCCAATTTTTCTCTAAACCTTCTTAAAGAGCTTAAAAAAACAAACAATTCAGTATATCAAAGTGTTTTTGTACGGTTATTGGTTACGGAGAAAACTAAAAAAATTGTAAATTTAAAATTCCCATGTTATTCTTATGGAGAATATTGTAAAATGTTGTAGTTTGCTTGTTTATGGATATATTTTGATCAAACCTGGCAAATTTATTTATTTTATAGTAAGCTATCAATATTTTACTAAAAACACACTACTTTATTAGTTTCCTTGTAGCAGCAAACCTAGGTACTCATTAAACCTAATGTTATTTAAATAGATCAATTGAAAATCAATTCGGCCAAATGGAAATTCGCTTAGACGGCAGGTTTGCTGCGGCGGGGGTATTTTACTAAATAAATTGCAAAGGTTGGCAATCTATTTTTGCTTATTACTTAAAATTACTAATTAGGCTACAAACACCAACAAGATTAAATTGATTATTACTTGTTTCGTATTAATTTAAAAAACTTGTTGTATTCTATTGTTTTTTTAATATATTAAATGTAACTTGAGTCCATCTGAACATTTGATTGTATATGTAATTGATCTATACAGCTTGACCTCGATAGCAAGTATCTTATGGGGATTATTAAATAAGACTTGTTACCACAGTAGACTTCTTATTGAGGTTTGCAATAACATGTGAATAGGAGTACCTAATACAATATCAAGGGTATTTGATAATGACAATTGTTATGGAGGGTGACTTGCTATTGAGGGTCTTGTTATTGAGGTGCCACTGTGTAAGATAAATTGTCAAAATATTTAAGATAAATTGACCCTTCACCCAATTTTTTATCTAGGATCACAAAGGTATCAAACATATTCTTCTTTCCTTGACGGAATTTAATTTATTGTCATTGTCACTGACACAAATTTTATTTTATTTTACCATACTTTCTACTCAGTGAACTACAACCAGTGAAGAAAGAAAAGATTTCAGTAGATCCTGATAAAAAAATCAAAGAAAACCCTGACTTAATCATGTAACTATCCTTCCTTTTAGCGAATTTCCTATATATAGGGAATAAGCTATTACCGTAGGTCTCATGGTAAGACCTGGACCCGGGACCGATTTACTTTTTCATTTTGAGGTCCCCAGAGGCCAAAAACACCATCCGTTCAAATTCTTATATATGTTTGTCCGTTAGCATGATAACTCAAACAAAAATTATCCGATTTTGATGAAATTTGGTATAAACATGTAAACCTAAATTTATTCAAACGAGTTCGCGAACCAGCATGATCGGACCATGGGAACAGGGGTTTATGGGGGGTTTTATGGGGTAAAAATGGGTTTTTTGTTTGGTCAAAAAAACACTGTTTACCTACCCTGTAGCAGCAAACCTAAGCACTCGTTAAATCTAATGTTATTTAAATAGGGAATAAATATGTCTTACTTATGGTAATATCTTAGTAAATATGTAATCAGACAAGTGGAAATTAGCTTAGTCTGCAGGTTTTTCTGTGGCGGGGGTATTTATCAATGAATTTTTAAACAAAACTTACGCAAAACAATACAATGCTGTTAACAGAAGGAGCCGCAGCCGGATGAGTCAGTGAAGGCAGGAGACGAGGGGGGAGCATCTGCCCTACCTGTACTGAGACTGCTGCGGCCGGAGTTTAGAGCACAACTGTCATTGGCCAAACGCAAGTCTAGTTGTCCCTCCACCAGGTAAACTCATACACACCTAGAGGCTATAACATGCCATTCATGTTTTACACGTTGCTGCAGAAATCCATTAATTAATCTGCTTGTCCCTTGTATTTCATAACTATATATTTATAATAGAGTTTTATTTAATTACAAAACCTTTTTTAAAATACTAGTCTATAGAATACCGGTAATGTGATTAACAATTCACACTCTTGAAGAAACAACACTCGAGTAGGACTTCCAAAATGCAGTTGATAGTTTCCTATACTGTATTGCCAAATGTGAGAGTAATGTAGGGTTTGAGAATTCCCCGTACAGGGAATACCAAAGGTCTCATGGTAATGCCTAGTACCGGGACCGATTTACTTTATTACTTTGTTGTTCCCAGGGACCTAAAACATCATCCATTCAAATTCATGTAATATATATGTGTGTGTGTCTGTTAGCTTGATAACTCAAGTAGAAATCAACAGATTTTGATCAACTATGATACAAACATAAATTCCAACTTGTTTATACGGAAAACTGATGCATGGAATGATAATTCTTTGATTAAAATGTATTAATTTATCTAGTTATTTATTTAGTTTTGTGGGGTTTTTAACTGTTAATAAATTTAAAACATTCAAAAAACTACAATAGTTGATTTGAACTTAATAATAATAACACGAGTTTTTAATTTACAGCGATTAAAAAATGTCTCCAAAGCTATTAGGCGTACAACAACGTTCAAGTATAGCATAATAAATGATATTTTAGAGAACAATACAGAAATAAATAAAAAAATTAAATTAAGAAAAAGGAGTGAAGGGAGTTGGGGAGAGGGGCAACTCTCTGAGAGGTTTAATCTGGATAATCCTGAATGAAGTACAAGACAAATGATCAAATCGAAACATATTAGGAACTTATTTTAAACTTATATTCCTGGATAAAAAAAAACAAGAACTCGGACTATACTTTAAATCGCCCAAAACAGAGTAGTTGTGGACTATTTTCCTTCTTCATTAAACAAACTTATATAAAAGGTTTGTACAAAGACTTTTGTCTTGTTTTAGGGTCACAGACTCGACTGATGGTGCTGTGGAGAGAATTATTCCTGTTGTTATTGCTGATAACGATGTTGAAACAAAAAGTCATAGCATAAAGGAGGAGAGAGAGACTGTAAATAAACCTGTTGAAAAGGATGGACCTTACTATCTGCAGGTAACTGTTATTATATCTCGTAATTGAGTCCATGGGTTTTTGGTGCTTCGAAACTACCCTATTATGACCACGATCCTGTTTATTGTAGGTTAAGTACATACTGTAAGTTCAATTGAGACAAAAATTTAATAACACAATAAATAATGTACTAACTTTATGCAAAAATCACTTCTGTTTATTATATTTTCATATTGCTTAGGGCAGTGTGCCGGAGATGATATTACATCTTGTGAGTGTTGCAGTAATTTAGTTCTTGATACTGATAAATATTTAATCTGTGATGGTATCTGTGGTGTATATTGCATTAAGTGTGCTTAGGCTTAGTAAAGGATTATGATCTCATTAAGAAGCTAGATAAAAAGGTGCAACAGGTGCTATACATGTTTGCAGGCGATCGTGAGTAAAGCAGTAGTTAATGAACAACACTTGACTTCCAATTCTAATTTTCAAGTACCAATTCTAACATCTTTGTTGGAAAATGCAAAATGTGGTTAAAAGTTTGGTAGAAGACAACATTAGTAGTATTAACAAATTGGAGTCAGTAATTTCTGATTACAATGATATTAAAACTCAACTATCAAAGTTAAATTGCTCTACGATTAATTGATAGCCCCACATGAGCATTGGTACAGACCTGACACTATATATTTAGCACATTTTAATAGTTACTTGTGCGCAACATATTTTTGTCCCTCTGGTCAAACTAGGAGCAGTGTGGCGGATTTCGTCTGTGAGGGTCTCAGGTACGCTATACTCGATGTTAAACGTTTTTGTTTTGAGAGACACTTTGAGAATGTGGCTGTCTTGGACAACTACTCAACCCTGGACGTAATTATCCTGTCCCAGATGGTGATGCGGTCAAACATTTAACAATCTCTCTGTCTACTATGAATATACCTATTGTTTTATGTGGTGACATCAGTATTGTCATTCAGCTTTAAGAGCCAATACCACCCCAATATCTGGATGTTCTCCAATCTGTTGACTACAACTGTGTAAACGAGAAGGCCTAACTGGCCTCGATAATGTCATAACAAATTACCTAATACAACTTCTAATTGTGTCCGTTCCCACAATGCCTCTGCCTGATCATCAGGTTCTAGAAATCAAGCTGTCGCTCATTGTCGCAAAAAAAATTATCCGATGACTTTGAAGATTACTTGTTTTTTAGTTAGAAAAATAACGAGAACTTTGTTTCTAACATGTTTAATATTGATTGGCCCACTATCAATAGTAACTCCTGTAATAATTTTCCAGAACCTCTTTTCAGAAAATCTTTTGACATTTGTTAGGCTACCCCGTTTGAAGTGTAAAGTCAAATGCAAATAAATCTCATAATCTTAGCTGGTTTAAGAAAGAGCATCATGACATTAGAAAGGAGGTATCACGACTGTATAATTTCCCTAACTGGCCCAAATGATACCATCTTTTTGTGTAGCCTACATCATTAAATCCAGGTATTTAACTGAAAAGGAGGTACAAGAAAGCTCTCGTACAAGCTAAGCTGGACCACATTGTAACTAGTAAAACAGCGTTTTAATGATATAAAGATTAGTGTTAGTCACTTATAAACGTTGTGTTACAGCTGGTGACCAATGAGGCGGAGCTGTTAGAGCGTCTGGCGGCCATGATGGAGGTGGAATTATCTCAAGGAGTCCCGGACCATATGGAGGGCAGACTGCGCGCTGCTGCAGGCAAAGCCCGTCTACTGGCCAATCAGAAACTTGCTCAATTCAAAGGGCTCTGCCACAAAAACATTGTAAATATCTTATAACATGTGCTCTTTTTTTCATATCGCCTAAGATAAGTTTTAACATATTCTTACCACTATTGGCTAAGTGTTCTTTTCATGAACAATATCGGTCTACACGATGACTGGCGAGCCGGTTGCGTGACAAATTCTGAAACCAAAGCATCCATGCTTGGACTTGCATCTTAGTGCCGCCACTTAAAATGTATTAGCATAGTTCATTCTTGTACTGTAACTTGGACCTTCTTGCTTATCTTAATATATTCCGGTCAAATGCAAGGTTAAACAATTGTGATGGCATACAATATTGTACAATTCATTATACTATTTCAGCTATTGGCTCTATTGCTACAGACAACCACGTTAATATTGCAAGCCTATTTCTATTCTGTATTTTTACTGCACAAATTATGTTGTGAATTGTGTTTTTTTTTTTTTTTTATTTATGTCATCTCTGAAATTGATACCTGTACACGCTTATAATAATGCAGAGCAAGGTAGAATTTAAAAACTCCCACGTCTTGGCTTTTCTATCTTACCATATAGGGAATGAGCTATTACTGTAGGTCTCATGGTGAGCCCTGGACCAAGGACCGATTTGCTTTTTCATTGTGATATCTTCAGATGCCAAAAACACCATCCGTTCAAATTTTATATTTATATATATATACTGTATATGTCCGTACAACTATTATCAATTTATCATTAAATATTTACCTAATGTGGTTACATATCTGATCACTTTTGAATTAAAATCAAATACACCACACCATACTATATTTGCTTTGTATGTGCTTAGAATTTGTCAGTTTTATTGCGCTTCTTTATTCATTGAGCAAGATTTAAAAAGGAAACCAAAATCTGCAAATCCTCAAATGACAAGATTTAAGTAAAAAAAGATGAAAAAAAACATGTCCATTGAAGACTATTACAACAAAGGAAATATAAAAACTACCTTTTTCAGATCCAAGACATGAGTGAGGATTTTCCTACAACTTGTGAAGACCTGGCTGGATTCTGGGATATGGTGTGCATTCAGGTCAACAGTGTACATGAGGAGTTCAACCAAATCGACATCTTAAGGAAGGCAGGATGGCCTGTACAGGTATGGTCATTTTACTTCATACAACTTCATCAACTTACAGATAAGAAAGAAGTCTGTGCTGATAGGCAATTGAGATTAAAAGATAAATAAAGACTAGGCAATTGAAGCTATTTCCTATATTAATTGAGTGATATGTTTCTTTCTTTCCAGGAAATTCCTGAAGACAAAAAGAAAGCTATGAACGGTGCCAGTGGGGCGGGGCCGCGCAAAGCCAAAGCTCTCCCCACCTCGGCACCTGCCCCTGCTAAGTCATCACTCAGTAAGGCTCGAGACGAGGCCAGGAAAAGAATGCTTGCTGAACGTCGCAAGGAAATGCGTAAAAACGCTAACACCACTGATGATATCGTAATAGTCTAGTAGCCTATGTCGATCACTTCTGATTCCGGTTGTTTATAATATAAGGTTGTTTGACACATATAATATTAAGTTTGTTGTTTATATTCTCAAATCGCAATGAATTTCATGAAGGAAAAATATTTTCAATGAAGGAATATGAGTGTAAACAAATACATTTTAAATAAATTAGTCACCTTGAAAACTCTTGTAAATGGATTCAAATTATGCTGCTTACAAATGAGGATTAAAATTAAGTAGGCCTATGGACACTCATAAGCAATAGTTCTTCCGGTTGGTGCCTAACATGAAACCAAAAATCAGATTATTTAGAGATATTGAATATAAAGATATTGAATAGGGGTGGGCGAGTACTTGAGATTAGTTGTAAAATTTTTGATTGCAAACCAAGTTTTACACAAAGACTCGCTACTTGAGTAGTTACATCCTATACAACCCCTATTTGTTATTTAAGTTTTTTTCGTGCAACATATATTTTGGGGGGCTTTGTATTTAATTTGAGTAAGTACACTTTAAATCTCTTTTGCTAATCCCCAAACCGATGTTCAGCCCCTTCTTGCTTAAAGCATGATTTCATACATCAGCAGTCCAATTCAAAAATATTTTTCCTTTGTGAAGTTAAATTGTTTTGTATTATTCATTTGATTCCTATAGATTGTTGCGACATAATGAAGAGATCTGCATTGAATCTCTCATAAGATGAAAGCCTAGCCTAGCCTCTCTAGTCGTAGATATGAAAACATGTTTATTTATAGTCTTGATATGATAACTTATTTGCTGTTTGTCCACTTTGCGTTTGCTATGTTATTGTTTTTTACTGAGGTTTTTACATTGTTTAAGATTTTTATAGGATAAGAGGCTATTTTTTTATGAATTGAAGCATGATGAAAGGGAATCGTTTCATTGTGTTTGGCGAGTTGTTTTAGTTTTCTCTTAAAAGCTTTTATTCAAAGACTTTTTCAAACTACTTAAATATCAGAATGGGAGATATGGAGCACTTTTTAGTATTGGTACTTTTAATGTTTGTAAGTTTAAGCGATTAATTCTTTTAATGTTTTATATTTAACTCTTATTTATTTATGTAATTTATTTAATCGATATATTACTCAATCCCACAAGTGTTGAGTTGTAAAGTGAAGATTTCCGTATCCAAAGCTTAGAAGATATTGTTATGTGGCCAGGCCTAACAGTCAGATTTATATTTTGTAAAAGGGATGGTATTGTTACAGTATTTGCTAACTGTTGTAAATAATAAGAGCTTCATTAATTATTTTGTTAATTTGGTTTCTAAGTGATATGTTAAGACAATTAAAATTTATTGTTAAGGTAATATATGAGGACTAAATCAAATCCTAATTTTATAAGTAAATATGATCACAATATAACCAAACCCTACCTTTTGCAATTGATTGTATTCCTTAAAACCAATATTTTGTTATGTTTTTTTATATTAAACTGAAAGTAACAGAAAACTTACTAAAGCAAAGTATTAATCATTTATATTCCTATTATGTTTTTAGGTTGTGTATACAAATTCAAACTGTTATAGCACTAGGATGCAGGATTACGTCATGGTCAAAACCCTAAAATGATAGGACAATCAGAAGAGCTAAAGATAGTGAAAAAATTCAATATAATAATACTTACTTACAAGCCAAATATAACTCATCATTACACACATAAAAATTATTTAAAATATAACACAGAAACACAAGTGACTACAGTAATGGCTTTTACGGCGAAGGCAAGTGGATTTGCTTTGATATCCCAAGAAGTCAACATGTCGAGGTAGCTGTTGAGTAGGTATGTAATGAAAGAAAACCAATAAATTATAACATTTTCCATCAATTTCTACTTTTGCTGGTACAAATCAGCTTTGTAATAGATTATATTTTGTGAGAATTTGTGCAATTTTATATTTTTATTCTTAAAATTGTATAAACTGCTTTGGTTAAAACATATTATAGTTGACACTGATAAAGAGGACATTATCAAAAATCCAAAAATGAGTATCAGTAGAATTTTTTTTAGCCTTAAAAAGGTAGGTTTGAATTTACTCTGACATAAATATATAGAAATAAACAATATGTAAAAAGCAAACCATCTAAGGGATTGAGTCAATCTTCTGGTAAACTGAACTAAAAGGGTTTCAAGAAGCATTTTTTTTTTTGCCAAAACTGCCTAAACATAATAGCTGCTGTAGTTTCAGCTATGTTGGTCAAAGTAATTCAAAGCAAGATAAAAAAATACCTCACATACTGGCATATTGATTTTACCTTTGAATCACAGTCACACCAAAATGCTGTTTAAAAACATTTTACTTTGTGCCTTTTTCATTTTTTACACATAATACGCCTTGCACATGATCATTGTCAATATGGAATTATCCAACAAAACGCTTCCTATTTTTGTCTGAAAAGCCGAGTATGGTTCAGTTTGGATTAGCTGATCGAGTTGCACCAAAACATACCATCACATATGGTTAGATATGAGGGGTTCTACTGTAGTAAGAATAAAAAAAAAAAATATTTGCATAGTTTAATATAATTTAATTTTACACTTTTAAATTAATAAAGTACTTGTGTTTATGTAAAGAAAACATTAAAATAAAAGATAGTAGCATGTAATTGACAAGTATAGAATCTTTGGTCTCAACTAAAGAAGAAACATAACCTAAAATAAACTGTAAACAAATGTCACTTAAAAGTACTATATACATTGTGAAATACTGTAAATTTTACAGTATAATTTAATAATAATTCATTTTTATTTACAAATATTTACAAATTATATTCATAACCTTAAAAATTAAAATAAATATATGTTTGTTCATAATAAAATATTAATAATTATAAGTGAACCTTTGCTATGAATTTGTTTTACTTTAAATATAAGTTTACATCAAAAGTATATGGGGGAATTGCAATGCATACAAAAAGGGGAGCTTTACATAAATAGCTTTTAGTATTAACAAATTTTCCAGGTTACAAAATCAAACAATTAATTCGGCTTAGCAGTCCTTGTTTAATTTAAGTTACTATGTTTAGTTTATCAACAGACAACTTGTTTGAGCCACCAACATTTCCTACTCTAGTCAATTAAACAGTTGTCAATACAACTAATGTTTTCTCAACCACGGGTTGCCCATTTCTATTCGCCATAGAAAAGCAAAACGTTATCATACAACCTCAGAGGTTCTCATAATATCAAAAGATTACGAACCATATAAACCGAATAAAACACAATAGTAATATTATTTATACTTTTATCTACAACCGTTTTTTTCAAGTAATTGTTTCAGTTCAGTTCTTAGAATTGAAAAGTGTCCCATAACAGCATTGTTTACTTTCATAACAGCATAGTTTTACTCACAACAACTCGGGTAACAAACCAATTAGGTTCAAGGATTGAGAGAGAATTAAAATTGTAATGATTCAAACTTCAAATAAACAGCTGTCCAGGCCGATTTATTTGTTGAGTGATGCAATTTATTGTTTGGTACAATGTTTTGTTGCATCACTGTCAATGGCAATGAGAGGTTATAAACGAAAACATAACCTCTCTTAGAAGTTATGAGTAGTGATTTTTAGTGATTAAAACACTGTCGTAGGTAAAGCAGCTTATAGACGGGGACAGTAGAGACGGAAAGTAGCTGGCTGCAAGTACTTGCCATGCCCTTGCCGCCAGTAGAGCAGAGTGGCAAGTGAAATTATAGTTGATCAGTTGATCGTGTTTATAGAAGTGACAAAGTTGTTTGTTAAAAGTACAAAATTTGTTTTTTAGAGTGTCCTTGTTGAGAAGAAAAAAAAACATAAAGTGGAGTTGTGATGACATCATCAAGTTTTTGGAGATCTATCAGAGCTAGAACAACACAACAACAACACATTCAGCAATTGCTTCATTAAACGTTTTTACAAAATTCTTCATCACAATCAGACATTCTTAACATAATTTTAATTCAACTATCGACACCATTCACTCACGATCTTGCGGGCTGGCTGCAAGTTTTGTCCATGACACTTGCCGCCAGTACTTACCCAGTGTATAGGTAAACATACGGCAAGTGACGTAATGGACAGTACTTGCAGCCAGCAACTTGCCGTATCTACTGTCCCCGTCTATACGTTGCTTAAAGTAGTGTACGCAACTCGTGTAAATAGTGTTAACGATACTTGTAGAAGTTTTTAAGGCACTCGCCAAGGCTCATACCTTGAATTTCCTACTCATATCATTAACACTATCTTTACACACGTAAACTACTATAAATGCACATGTTATATTTTTTAATAGTAAGCTACACTTATAAATCACTATACAATAAGGCTAGGGACACTGTGAGAAACCCTGTTATCTGGTGGTGGATGTTTGCAACATGAAGAGGCACACAGTATGAGTGCCAGAAGCAACATAAGTGCTGATAGTCCAAATACGGCCCCTGATGCCACCTCTACAATCTCTGGCATCTCTGGTGGTCTCCAGTCACTGGCTAGTAGACCTAGCACTCCACACAACAGCACATCTAGCATGCTCAACACCATGTAACCTGTCAAGCATAAAACAGTTACATGAAAACTGATAGTCCACACATGGCAACTGATGCAACCTCTGGTGGTCTCCAGTCACTGGCTAGTAGACCTAGCACTCCACACAACAGCACATCTAGCATGCTCAACACCATGTAACCTGTCAAACATAACATGAGAACTGATAGTCCACATGTGGCAACTGATGCAACCTCTACAATCTCTGGCATTGCTTCACCTTTCTCTAGGCAATGGACATTTTTACTTGTTCATATTCAATTTTGCAGTCAGATGCGACTGTAACACCCCTCCAGAAAACTGCTTTTTTGCTTGTATTTACACTATCATTTAAATCAATGATTTTCTAAAAGTTGCAAACTCATATGACTTAGCAAGTAACGTCACAACTCACCTCCATTTGTATGTCATGTATCCAACTGTCAAGTAAAATGTTCTTCTACAGCAAAGTGTTCTTTGTCGTTTGTTGACTTGATACAGTAAATTATACAGAATTAAAATAATTTCAAAGATCACAACGCAAAAGAAAGTTGTCATCATACAAAAATTATTCCCTTATTTTTGGATGTAATATATTTGATTACCTGCAAGATAGTTGCGATTGAAGACCCAGTCCCAGCGGCCAGTGCGCACAGCTGCATAGCCGAGCACCAACATTGCAAAGCCAGACATAACTGCCAGGTCGATGTAGTAGTGCCTTCCTTTCTGCAAACCAAGCTTTAACAGAATAACAAGAATCACGTACACGATTTTTATAAATGCATAATGTTATTTTTCTTTTCAAAATGTAACCTGAGGCAAAGTATTTGTTGTATTTTATCTATAACTTTCTTTAATTAAAAGTTTTACTTTCCAACTCCTGTCCAGACATCAATTAAGTTCATTTCCAAGGGTGTAATACTATCAAGGCCTGGATTCATTCAAGCTTTGTATTTGCAGTATGTTGAAATATAATTACTTTTTACTTTTTAGCGAATTTCCCTACAGGGAAGAAGCTATTACCGTAGGTGGCACGGCAAGACCTAGACCCGGAACCCGCATAAATTCACTATAAAATTCTATAAAATAATAACTATAAATAACGGCTAAAATTTAAATAACTACACTTTTTAACTTTTTAAATAACTATAAAATAAAGGTGGTAACCTTGCATTTGTGTCTGTGAAAGTTAAGCTCGAGTAATTTTGGTTTGATTTTGTTGAAATTTGGCAAGAATGTATAGGGCTGGATACACTTGAATGAGTTTGCTAACCAGCAAGATCGGGTCATTAGAACAGTGTATTAGGGTGTTTTGAAATTTTTCTAAAAAGTTAGTTTTAAATTGTATCTTAATATTTTCACTACAGTCTTGTTATTTAGGCTGTATGCATTATTGGTGCCTATGGTGGTAAAACTATCAAAATAACTATCCAGAATCTTACCATTTAGGATGTTTGGACCAATATTTATTTTCCAAACATGATATTTTATGAGGTTCAAGAGTGAACAAAATATTACCTTACAGAATTATGATGGATATTTTTTCAAAACTTAAGCATAACATTTTTTTATATCTTTTAGGGGATTCCTCACCTGGAGAAACTAACTGAAACTCTTATTTCTTTTTAGCGAATTTGTACATTGACCTTTGACCAATCTCAAAAATCATGAAATAAAGCATAAAATTGGTACCCTACCCTGCAATATTTTGACACTCAAGGCAATAATTATAGCTATCCGACCTTGTTAAATATTATAGTTGAAAAATATACATTTGCTTACTTAAGATCAAAAATAAACCAAACTTGAGGCAATTTTTGCCAATAATTAAAAAGATAGATAACTTATAATACAGTACGGTGTTATATTTTGGGAACAAAGGTCTGGACCATCAATATTGATTTATACATTCCCTTAAAAAAAACTATTCAGTTCTAGTCAGTTCTTCGATCAATTCTGTCCCCGAGTTTGTTTAGATATTTGTTCATGCCAGTTAACAATCTAATTCAACCCAACTAAATTTTGAGCAACACAGGCTTGCTTATTCAACCAGCTACTGTTTCAGGTCATTTTATGATCGGATGTAAATACGGGTAACTCTTGCTTTTCAAGCTTTAAGGAAACACATGTATATTACCACAGAAATTAACTTATGATAATTTTTAGATGTTTGAAAGAGATAGAGTTCAGCTAGCTTACCTGAGATAGTAGAATCCAGGGGTCCAATCCAGATACACAATAAAAGGTGACCTTTGATTGTGAGTTTATTCCCTTGGACTCTAACTTTCAATTAAGCTAGCTGAACTACTGTATATCTCTTTTTGAAAATATCCTGAATCACTAAGCGTAGGTTTACACAGTCATACCTTGGCAAGTAGGTAGAAGCACAAGAGACAGTTGATAGTGCTGGCGAATATCAGGAAGAGTCCAGACAAGAAGAGAGTGTTTGTAGGGGTGGAGGCTGGCAGAGTAGCCCAGGAGCCCTTATTGGGAGAGGGAGGCAAAGGTTCTGGTCTGGGGTGAGGTCGGGGCCGAGCGTTGGGTGGAATCACTGCCAAGTTGCGGTTCTGGGGCAGTAGAGGCTCCCATGATGACATTGGCGGCTCCTGTAAAATAATTTTTATTGTCCATTGTATTCACAAAAATATTTTTTTCAAACAATGATTTTAATTAATTTAAAAATTTCATTTACAAGCTGAGAGAGTGCTGGTAAGTTCATTAACAACTATCTAAAAAGTTAAACCTTGACCTTAGCTTGGATTTTAGTCTTTAGTTTCAAATATAACCTTCTACAGGTCATCAAATAACTGTTATCATAGTTCAATATCTTGCTTGTTCAAGAACTCAACATCCTTAAGCAGTGGGATGAGCAAACCTTTCCAGGATTAAATCACAATATGTACTAACAAATTTAATTAGTGTTTGAATATTGAACTAGTTCTGTGTCAAATTTGTCTTACATCTGGTACCTCGGCACCTCGACGTTGGTGGATAAGGTGTGAGGAGTACCAGATAAATAAAGTAATTGGGGCAAACCAAAACTAGCACTTGCTACCTTGCATTTGAGTGAAGGGGTTCTGGCTCTCTAGGTAGGAGATTGAACATCAGGCTAACACCTTACACTGTCAAAAATCCTTTGTTTGGAATCATCCAAATGAACCATGGATGGATGGGTTCCAACGTTCAACAAAAAAATGGATTTGGGAATTGTAAAAAGTAAAAAAATTGAAAGACAAACATGAGAAGACCTGAGGGGAAAAATGTGAAAATTTGTAGAGAACAGGCTTAATTTAAGTGGTTGGAGGATTTTTATGAATTTGATCAAGGTCAACTTTGAGTTTGAGAACCAAGGAAAGAAAAAGAAGATATAAAATTATTCTATCCTGCTAGAGTGCATTCAAGTGTGCAACCATTAAAACTGTGATAACCAAAGACTAATGCTAAAATATCAGCTACAACGGTTGGTTACCTGGTATTGCGGAATTACACGATGTTGGTAGTTCGGTTGGCAGATAGTACGACGAGCAGGAGTTCCTCTGTGAGGAAAGTCCTCCGTAAACACTGCAGATCTTGACCTGCGAATGCCCGTGGATGCCACTCTTGCCTGGGCTATCATAGGAGCCAACACGTTTGCAGTACTGTGTCGGGGAGCACTGCAGAAAATTCAGATAATGTTACAACAGTTCGATTATAGTCTGTTAAATAACGAGGGAAAGGAATAGTCATTGAATTTCTTCTTACTTTAAATTAAAAGATGTTTTCAACCTCAAGCTGTTAAATTTTTCCCTTAAAGGGCAGGATCAAGACATATTCTGCAGTCATTTCACAACAATAGGAAGAATATTCATATTATTAGAGATTATCATTACGAAGAAGATTCATATTATTAGAGATTATCATTACTTGAACCAATTCCCTTAAGACCAAATACACAGAATACAAGAACATATTCAATGAACGAAAGTTGGATAAAAATTTTTGAGTGAATAATGGTATCAAAAGTGATTCTACGTAAATCCAAAGTTTTTAAGGTATCACCTTTCGATATACCCTTATAACATGAACCAAATTCAATTTGTTTCCTGTTGGTATATTTAACCTGTTTTTTTTTAATCCTTCGTCGGTGACACCAAGGAGATTTCCTCCAGGCGCATTTGTTTTTATAGAAAAATGTGTGAAATCGCAAGCCGGTAACTTTAGGATTAACAGTGCCTTACGTTACGTGCATCTTTCTAGGAACCAATTGAACATTATTTTGATCTGACACCTCCCCCGCAAAATCCCTATTAATCAGTTGAAGCCCAAAGAGTTGCATAGCATTAAGCCCTGTTCCGTGAGTCCCCGATGGTGTTATTGTTTTTGTTTGCTATATATTTCTATAGCCTAAATATATCAAGTAAGAGTTTTTATTGATTTCATGCACAATTTTATTGATTATACATGGTTTTATACGTTTTTAACGAATTTCCCATATAGGGAATAAGCTATTACGGTCTCATAGTAAGACCTAGACCCAGGACCAATTTTCTGTTTCGTTTTTGTTTTTTCCCCAGAGTTCAAATTCATATGTATATATATGTCTGTGTGTGTGTCCGTTAGCGCGATAACTCGAGCAAAAATGATCCGATTTTGATTAAATTTGGTACAAACGTGTAAATCAACATTTATTCAAACTATTTTGCAAACCAGCATAATCGGACTATGGGAACGGGGGTTTATGGGAGATATTATGGGGTAATAATTGGTTTTTCCCATTTTTGACCCTAAAAACACAAAATTTCATAATCTATCTCCAAACCATTTTGTAGAGTTTAAAAAAATTTTTATTTAGCGTTGTTGTATGCCCAACGTTTACTGAGATAATTAAAAAATTTGTAAATTAAAAATTCCCGTGTTATTCTTATGGATAATAAATAAACTGTTTTAGTTAGCTTGTTTATGGATATATTTCAACCACATTTGGACATTTTGTTTATTTAATACTAAGCTATCGCCATTGCAATAAAAAAAACACATCTCAATATCTTCCCTGTAGCAGCAAACCTAAGTACTCACTAAAAGTAATGTTTAATGTTAATTAAATAGGAAATAAATCTGACAATTTTTAGGGAATATTTTAGTAGAAATCTAGCCAGGTAAATGGAAATTTGCATAGTCTGCAGGTTTGCTGCGGCGAGGGTATTGTATTATGTACGGTATAAAATATTGTTTGTCTAATGTTTCAACACCCGGAAAAAAACTCTGTGTGTAACCGATCGTGTTTAAAATCAAAGACACAGACGAAGGGTTAATACTAAAAACTACATCCACTTGGATCTACCAATGACAATGACCAATGTAAAAGATCTGAGCTTTGAGCTCCTTTTTTATAAAAAAAAAATGGATATATGTTTGACTATGTGAAGGAAAATGGGCCTGAAGAGGGGCAATCAAACATGAATGGTAGCTAATTCCATTCAATCGTGGAGATCCAAATTTAGTAAAAAAATGTTCCTTCCTTTCAGATTTTTAACTTGTACACTAAACAATGTTTTTCTGTATTTTATGTTTCTGAGAGAACTCTCCAGTATAGAGTAAGTTCTCTTCAGCTGAGGGACTTATACATTGTTTTTTATAGTTCAGTGATCTTACAGGAACAGGATTCAAATCACTACTGTAGGTACCAAAGTTATCATGCAGCTAAAAGTCATTGGTGATTGGCAGGATTTGATCCTGGGGCCCAGGCCAGAAGTATATGTTCTATATTCTATATCTGTGTATTCATAAAACTCTAACCATTAGAAAACACTACACATATTTAACCAAATGCAAACAAAAAAGTGAGCTTTTAAGTTCTTAGGCTAAAAATATTTACTAAAATCACCAATAGAAAATCAAACCCAAGATTTACTTCTTTGTAAATCAGGCCAAGGAACTTGAATCATTCTAATCTCATATATCCATACAATCATGAAACATTTTTAACTTTGTTATTGTACCTACTCGAAGAAAACACAAACATATTTTGTTTTAATTGTTTTACCGTTGAACTGCTAACTGTTCAGTTGAGTGTAAATCTTACAATAATTCAAATTAGCCTAATAATACTTTACCGTCCAAAATTGCATATATCTTAAACAGACACATATCTTCATCGTTCTTTACATTCTTTTATCATTTTTTGTTATAGGCCCCTAGGGTAAATGCGGCTCTAGGCCAAAAATTTACCCGAACGGTCCCCACGCCTAGGTTGAACTTCCCCGCAATCGCGGCGAGATCGTAAATATCTACCGCGATCACGGGGACGCCATCATCGCCACGCGTGATCGCGGAAAAAAGTGAGCATCTCCCGCGATCATGTGGACATTATCAGCTCAACCAATTGTTGCGAAATCTAGTATTTTGCCGTTTCGAACCCTTATTTCTGATCTCATTGGATATTTTATTTTCGAATTTGTACGGGAAACTTTTTCAACGCTCGATTGAATAGCAGAAATTCATTGAAAGTTTCAACGATATTTAGAAGATTTATAAAAAAAACATCGTACTCTCCATAAAATGAATGTTTATATGTTACACAAAGCTGAATCCTATTTTGAAATATTGTAAATAAGGAACACTGTCGATTAACAAGTAAGTCGAAATACGGAGAAAGTTCGTGTGGTGTAAGCTTACTTAGGGATTCGGTCCTTGAAGAGGTTTTGGGCTCAAATACCGCCAATCACTAATGTATTTTATTTTATTTTTTTATTTTTGATAGTGTCGCATAAATCTAGGTCTAGCATTAAGTAATTTTGTGTAAAAATATTTTGAACTAGCGTCTAGAGTCCTAGGATGTGAAGGTACGGTATCCTATTTCTGATTCCACAGGATACTTCTCATGTTTGAATTTTATCATGATAACTAGTTTAGTCTCTACAGTATCTACTAACCTGAAGGATCTTTGCCGAGGTCTATGCACCTTTCTGGGCGTCGACATAGGCGACTCTCCGTGTCTAAGACTACCAGAGGCTCCGAGAGGCGTTTCGCGGTCTTCGCAGCCCCAGAAGTCTTCTTCGTCCTGGTCATACATACTGCAGTAGGCGGCATTGCTGTATCCCGACGAGCGACTCATCTTGTAAATATCACACAAAACAGACCCTAACTGTCGTATCGTAGGCACATCACTCGGGTCCGGCCGACTCGGAAGTTTAAAAGCCACTGACTACGACTACAATCGCCCGCTATCAAGGGATGGGGGAACGCCGCACGCGCCTAAACGTACACCTGGCCCAACTGTCGCCCCCCCCCCCCCCCCCGGTTTATACGGGGCATTTAAATGGCAGCTGTTGATATGGCTTTAAATGGTAAGTTTTACGAGATGTTGAGAAAATACGTATTTCGATCAAAAACAAAAACTAGTTATCCTTTTCCCCCTTTTTTCCATTGTTTAACTTAAAATGGATGATGATAACAAGTATAGAAATTTAAACGATTTTATAACTGGTGTTTGTGGGTTTTCGAGGATTTCCATTTAAATAGATTTTATTGATGTTGTGAGGTTTGGTAACTTTTGGTTTCTTAGTTTTTCATATACAAAAAAGGTACACATTACGACTGAGTTTTGCCATTAAATATCGAAACTTTAATAAATAAAATGTTAATTACTTTCCCACCAAAATCTCAAATAAAGGAACGAGAGCATTTCGAATCAAACAACAAATTCAGTTTTTCTCGTGCAATTTCTATGTCGAAATTAGTGTGGACATAGAAATAATTCATTTTTAAATTGGATACTTGTGAGCGTTAAAAACCAAACATATTTGAAGTAGAGACAATCAGAGGATTCAATGCATTTACCATTCACGGAATACTTAAGTGAAAATGTAGTGAATTGTCAAATGTACTTGAAATAACTCCAATCCACGCAAAACAATATTAAATGTATTATGATCAGTTTCATTCGTTCATACTATGTCAAGCGCGAGTCTGGTATTAACGTGTTCATCGTGGAATAAGTAGCTCTCTTCGTTATGTGTTATTATTTACGTTTAAGCAAATGCTATGCACCACTCAAGTTATCACTTCTGCTAAATCTCCACAATCTATGACATTGGTCAATCAATCAATTCCATGTCGTTTATAACTGTGCATTAATTTAATCGATATAAAAATGGGATGTGTATTGTATTTTAGTTTAATAGGGGGTTCTTTGTCTTTATAACCACAGCCTGGAGTTTAGAGTTTGACATGTTCTAACTAATCCAACCAACATCAGAATGACAGTTTCAATTTATTGACAACCTTCACATGAGTTCTTAAAAAGCGTATAAATTAAATCAATAGAGCAAACCTATTGAAATATTTACTTTAATAGTTCGTAATGTAATAAATAATTTGAAAATTGCAAAACAATAAATATTTAGGGTAGTAGTTTTTAAGATAAAAGACGAAAATGTAAATTATATATTTTATATTTATGTAAGTCCTAAGATACGGATACATTAATATTGTAATTGATTTACCTACAGAGAAACACGTAATATTCCAAAAATAAAATTTTGTTGTAAAAAGTTTGATTTAAATGCGAAATTGGGTGAAATTCATTATTGTAATAAATGGTTTAAATGTTTATATTCAAATGAAACTATTTCCCCAACGTCAGGGGGGGGGGCAAGGGCAGATGTCGACCGTTGACGACCGTTGCAAGTCGCGTGCCGGGGGCAGATGTTTGTGGGGGGGAGGGGCTCAGGCTTTGTTGCCTTCTCGAGTTCTGTCCTTTCAATTTGGCCCTATTTGCCTTTTGCCTTTGCCCTTTGGT